ATCCTTCTTGAATCATTGTTTCAATATGACAGAAAATAATTTACATTTTCTACAATGGCCAATTTTATGAATCTATGTGAACAAAATGTAAACAATAAAATTACAGACATCTATCGAAAGTATTCTTCAAACGTGATTGCAAATCATTTAAATTCTGCCATAAATTTTAAATCATCCGAATGTTATACTCGGCGACAAACGTGTGACGCTAAAATGTTCGTTATTATTAACGTCGTTTATTATAAAAAAATAAATTACTATAAATAAATATTAAGACAGAGAAATATTAACATTTCTTATTAACTTCGTGAGAAAAGAAGTCGCATAACAAATTTTAGAGAATCGTTATCGTTAGAGAATCATTAAGAAAGAAATATTTTCACTGTCGATAAAGACACTTGAATTCGAGAGAAAAGATGTCTTTACTTAGGATCCTTTCAGAATGATGTAAAAATAATCTTTGAAAGAAACGAACTGTGAATATATCATGTTTTGAAATGAAATTAGATTATTCTTCTTACTCTTAATTATAACAGTTCAAATTATGGATAATTTTCATCGTTTTGCAAATGGATAAAAGTCATCGTATATGCAAAAAATTTATAAAAATTGTTTCATGTCAAAAGAATCATAAAAATCGTTTCACAGATCATGTCCATTTAATTTAGCCATAAAATGCAAGTAAAAGTTCAATAAAGTTATTTATCCAAAGATATGTGTCGTGATTTAAAAATAAAACGTATATAATAATTAAATTTAATATATATATATATTAAATATTATATATTATTAATATATATATTACATTAAGTTATATAAATTATAAATTAAATTTATAAAACTCAAGCAGACACAAGTTTCTTTTTTTTAGTTCCCAGTTCGTTATCACTAATAATTACGCGTATCTCTGGTAGAAGTACATGTATGATTTAGGTATAAATAGATCGGCGAAGTAAAGAAGCTTTGTTCATGGAATTCTGTTTTATCAATGGCAGTACATCGTCCTTCCACAGTTTGTACTTTATATTTTTAATCCACTGTCGGACGTTAACAAAGCATAAATCCATAATTGCGGCACTTTATTGTCCATCGTTATCAGTTGCACTTGTTAACAATCTAGATAAAGAGATTACTTTCAAAATGCTTGCTGATAATCAAAATAGAACGCAACCGTCGAACCATGTTTCAAGTGTGCTTTATCGTGATTCCAGTGAAAAACTCGAATGTTATAGGTATTTTTATCCGTGTCGTACAGAAATTTCCTATTAAAATTATCTTATTAACGATGGATTGTGCGCTTTATTTTTAAATTGCAATTGAAATTTATTGTCAATTTTGCGAGATTTCAAGTATTAGATTTCTTGCATTATACAGAACATTTGAAATTTACATTTGTCATATTTGACACATTTTTGACATATTTTATTAGGCATTTTTATTTATTTTATATTTTATGCAATTAGACATTTCTTTGTCAGCGTCAGCAAGATAGAATCATCTCATTCTGAAATATTTATTACATCTATTCGTTACTCTTATTAAATACAATTCCAATTTGTAAAATTATGAATTGCCTCGGGGGAATTTTAAAGCACAAAAATGGCAAAGCATTATACAGTATCTGTATAATATTATATTTAATTGATTAAACGAATTTCTATCTGGTTTTATTATGTTTTACAAAAAAATAATATTAATTAAAATAAAAAGTAGGCATTAAGAAAGTTATTATTAGACTGTAGATTTTTAATTTAAAATATTTAAAACGCGAAATTGCACGTAATAGTCATAAATAAATGTACAAAATATGGAAAGTACTTTGTTATAATATTTCGTGGAACAATTTTCTATCGCTACTCATTTTCAATGATATCCTCAAAAATCCGAATTTGCATAAAAATCTGCAATCTGCAATAGTAACAACAAGAAGCAATGAATCATTATCGTCAATTTTATTTTCTTCTTATTTGTACTTATTTACGCGAGATTTGAAAATACCAAAATGGACACAGTGCGCAAAAATATAAAAAACACTCAAGGTAGAGTAATCGTTACAGAGGTTTATTTTATGAAATAAATATCTGTCTAAATATGTTGTCACGATTGTAAAAAGTATGAAAGTACATAACGCATGCTGCAAAATGGCCCCAAAATTCTCGGCGGTGTTTCGCAAACGGGACAACAGAGATTTCCCGATTTACATTGCTGTGAACGACGCTTAATCGAGGGTCCACGGGAAGGCCCCACGAACAGTTCGCTCGCATAATGGGCATAGGGCGAAGCCCAAGAAGAATCGTGGACCAAAGCCGCACCTTGTGCTGGCCACGTAAGTATGCGACGTGCACACGTTATAATGCTACGCCCGCGAACGCACGAGAGAACTGAGGTTATTGCGACCACCGTGGAGCACCGCTTTCACCTACGATCCTCCACCCTCGTCGCATTCGTCCGGAAATTCGTCTTCGAATTTTCGAAAACTGAACCGAACCGAACCGAATTAAAAATTTTAATATTTTCTTCGTGTGCCTGGCTACAGTGCCATTGCGAATGAAGATTTTCCGAACGAAGACAGTTATTTCCAACGATGTTTGTAACTTTGCAAAAAGGAATCGCGTGTCTCGTTTTTTAAAGCGCAAAGCCTTTACCTCGACTACTGAATTCGTTTTCTTCAAAGAAACCAGCGGGTGGGTGTATTGTATTATAAAATTTGATTATTATATATTTTTATATTTTTATAAAATTCGATTATTACATGTTTTTATATTTTTATAAAATTCGATTATTACATATTTTTATATTTTTATAAAATTCGATTATTACATATTTTTATATTTTTATAAAATTCGATTATTATTATATATTTTTATAATATTATTATATATTATATATTTTTATAATATTATATATTATATATTTATATATTTCGAGTATTATATATTTTTATGTTTCATTCTGTTCTGTCTTTAATTATCTGTTCTCATCAGGACTCTTGTAATGTAGAAATATTTTCTGCGATCCATCGTTTCAAATAGAACCGAACTGACAGTTCTTTTAAACTTTTTTAATCTCTGCTTAAAACTTGCAAAATCCGAATCTTATGAATCTTAGAAGAAAATATCATCTTAGGAGAAATCGTCATCTCGTTGAAACGTGATTTAATTGCTTAGATGCTACAATGAAATCGATCAAACGCATGGTGGTAATAGCAAGAATTCGAACGCGTGGAAGTTGTAAAGACACGCGTGCACGTTGTGTGACTTCAGCACCTGAGATTTCAGTATGCAAATTTCCTCGAACCGTTTCGGAGAGAGATAAGAAACCCCAGGTGTGTCTTTTATTTGCTGATTGAAGGAATACTTTTGCTAGATACCGCCAAGATACCGTCAGAGCCACAAGTCAAATATCTTTTAACCATCGATTTTCATTTTCTGTTTGAAATATTTGACAAAGTATGGATCCAGTCATCAGTATGAAGTTATCATCATAGACAGTTTAAGACTTATACTTACAACTTACTGTATAAATTATAATTGTAACTCGTTGTCTAGTAGAGCCTCGATTATCGTTAATACGAATTTTCTATCATTGAAAATGTTCTATTGTTGCAAGTACAATATAGTTGCACGTTTCATCAACATTGTATATAGTCAGTAAATATTTATCTCCTTCTGAAATAATTATCGAACTATAAATACAAAATCTATCCATAATGTATATATATGAAATTAGAATACAAATATGCACAGGAAAAGCTGTCGTTCTATCAAGTTCTTTGAACAGTTCATTCGCTTTTGAGTGAATATTATGAATTGCATTATACATTTCAGTTAATTACAGTTACTCAGATAGTTTATTTCAGTTAATTACAACGTACGTACATGTGACGAATAATAATATATGAAAATTATAATTAGTAGTCAATGATGGTATTGGGAGAATGATATGTGTTTAATTATTATTACTATATTATATTATATATAATAACAAATAATAGATAGTAATAGATAGTAAAAATGTTTATTATTTATTCTATAAATAATAATAATAAATAATAAAAACTTTTATTTCATTTAAAATAAATTTCAAGCAGGTATCTAAGATATATATGTCTGTAATACTAAATAATAATAAACGTATTACTTCGCTCAATATTTTAACAAAAATGCGATACATTTGGAGCAACAGCCAGAATAAATCATCCCTTCGCAAAGAATACTCTACATTCGTAACTTTTTTCTTAAAAGAACAAACGTATACATTATACAATATAATATATATTATGCAATATTGTATACAGTATAATATATCATACAATATTATACACAGTATAATATATCATGCAATATTATATACAGTATAATATATCATACAATATTATACACAGTATAATATATCATGCAATATTATACAGAGTATAATATATCATGCAATATTATACACAGTATAAAATATTATGCAATATTATACAGAGTATAATATATCATGCAATATTATACCCAGTATAATATATCATGCAATATTATACACAGTATAATATATTATACAATATTACACATAGTATAATATATCATGTAATATTATATACAGTATAAAATATTATGCAATATTATATACAGTATAATATATTATGTAATATTGTACACAGTATAATATATTATATAACATTGTATACAATATAATATATTATACAATATTATATACAATACAATATATTATGCAATATTATATACAGTATAATATATTATACAATATTATAGTACAATATATTATGCAATATTATATACAGTATAATATATCATACAATATTATACACAGTATAATATATTATGCAATATTATATACAGTATAATATATTATACAATATTATACACAGTATAATATATTATACAATATAATATCTGTAGATTATCCTCCTTATTAGTACAGTATAATCGAGGCCCCACAATATTGAAAACTAAAGCTACACGACTATGAAACGACGTATGTATGTACGTACGTACGTACATTGGCTCCAGGGACGACGCGGCTGTGGTGCAAGAAAAACCAGTGGTTTGACGATGCTGTTTGCCTTCGGTGTCTCATGATGTTTCCTGTTTGTTGTCACGTCGTGTCACTTTCTCGCAAAGACGGCGCGTTTGCGTTTCGATATCTGAGGCGCGCGTCGGTCACTTGGTAAACGCGGTTTCTCCGTGACTTCCTCTCCGGAGTGTTGTGAATCTGGTCGCCGCGCGGGAACACGACCACGCGCGCTCGATGATTCCTCCGGCCACGGAACACGATGTCCTACGTGACATAATGAAACTTGTCGCGTGAGATTCTTCCGCGCGCCGCTCTGGCACACCAGTTTATTGGACACTGAAACGTTCGTCAGACACTAAGACTTTTATGTTCTTTGTGACGCGTAACTAGTCGAACGAATCGTGCTGCAGGTATAATTCCACTGTTGCTCGTCTTGCGTTATGCATTTCTGAAGAATTGACGTAGGTATGGTTATATGTGGAGCATATATACTGTAATAAATACGTTACTTTTATAATTGTTATATTGTTATGTAGTATAATTAATAATAGCATAAATATAGTATAAATAAGTACATTACTTTATAATTATTATATTGTTATGTAGTATAATTAATAATAGCATAAGTATAGTATAAATAATATTGTAAATAGTACAAATAGTATAAGTAACATTATAATATAAATATTGTTATATACTTAATAATAGCATAAATATAGTATAAATAATATTGTAAATAGTGTAAATAGTATATATAGTATATATAGTATAAATAGTATAAATAATATTGTAAATAGTATAAATAGTATAAGTAACATTATAATATTATTACATTGTTATATAATTAATATTATATAACAATATAAATAGTATAAATAGTATAACAATATAAATAGTATAAATAGTATAAGTAACATTATAATATAATTATTATATTGTTATATAGTATAGTTAACAATATAATATAATTATTATATTGTTATATAGTATAGTTAACAATATAATATAATTATTATATTGTTATATAGTATAATTAATAATAGAATAAATATAGTATAAATAATATTGTAAATAGTATAAATAGTATAAGTAACATTATAATATTGTTATTATATTGTTATATAATTAATGTTAGTATAACAATATAAATAGTATAAATAGTATAAGTAACATTATAATATAATTATTATATTGTTGTAGAGTATAATTAATGTTAGTATAAATGTAGTATAAATAACATTATAAGTAGTATAAATACTATAAATAACATTATGATATAATTGTTATATTATATATATGTAATATATTCATGTAATTTTATACATATTTTAGACATTTTATATAGTTTTCTACGTTATACGCAGTTATACATCATCCGATTTCTAATGCAAAGGAATCAGTCCATCAAGTACTCTTCCTGTTTCTTGTTTTAGTTTCAATTTGCTAGATGAAAATGATGAAACGATTCTTTCATCATGAAATTGAAAAACGCAACGAAAGTATTAATCTTCCGATCGAATTTAATTACACCGTTCATCAAACATTAATTACACAGTATAATTACGTATGTAGTACCTATGCGATGATATTAATTCGGTAGAAAGCCACTCGTGACTGCTTCGACCCTCGAAACCAAAATTATACTAAAATCCAACCCTCGAACGTAAGGTTATGCCAAATTCCAACCCTCGAACGTAAGGCTACCAAAACAGTTTCGTCACGAAAGGATTAAGGAACAAAGACAAACAGACGGTTGCACGCCAAACCTTCCCCGTTCGTTCGAAGCTCGTTCACGGTGTTTCGGGAACGAGAGCCGTTCAATTTCCGCCGCGGAACCATAAAACGCGACGTGGCGGGGCCGGTAGTGTATATTGCCGTGCATTTCAGCGCGCGCGCCGCTGACAGAAGAGGGATTTGCCTTCGCCGCTTTACCGGATTTACCGAGACACCTCGTGAAACACGCCCATGTTTGACTTCAGCTTTTGAACGACGCCGAAATTTTCACAGGAACTTCGCCGCCGTGTGTCACCGCTGGAGTGAAAGGGGGGGAGGGAGAGAATCTACAGACCCACGGATGCAAGACTTATCACGCGGCGTAGAAACGTCGAGACGTGCCGACGGAGTGAATAGATTGTCGATTTTTAGTCACCTCGTGCGTGTTATAAAGTCGACACCGCTCGTAAAACCGAGCCTCGTTTCCACGTACGCACGGTGGAATCAGGGAGACGTTTGGCGCGCCTAGTTGCGACGCTTTTGTGGAGACAAGTGAGCTGAACGTCAACGAAGGCCGTCATTTGTTTTCACAAACTGCGTGCACAGTAGCAATTTTCGTTAAAGCTATACTTGAATTTAGCTGATTCTGGACGTGAACAAAGGATTTACTTTGTGTACGAAAATAACGTAAAGAACGTGGAATAAAATTTTTTTGTATGATTCATTTTCGAGGAATTTAAAGGCAATTTTTAAAATATTCAAAGTCCGTTTTGAAAATGAGGTCTTAGAAGAAGGAATTATTCGACACTTTTCGCTTGTTCTTGCGCATAGAATATCCTCGTATCGATTATGTCTAATAGGAAATTAATTAAGACTCGAGTATACTTGATAAATTTTCAAACGCGATTTTTTACGAAATAGATGCTTTAACGAAAAAATTATTCTTTCTTCTCGACTCGTTTTTTTTTCGTAGAATCATTTCTTATTTGATTAAGGCACTGTATAAAATCATCCTGTATAAAACTTCAAGAATCAGAGAGATATTGACACACGAGAGATTTTCTTCACAGTTCTTCCATGTATTTGTAACTTTTGATGTATTGTAAACGTAGGTAAATTTTATATTATTTATGTCTGAAATTAAGGTTCCTGTGACTTTTTTTTATTAAATTTCTGTGTCAGTAGATAATTTTAGGTATATTGGTGAATATAGGGGAAAGAGAAACAACTTGATATCGTAAATTACTATTGCATGATAATTAAAAATCACGCTTTTGAAAATATAATTAAAGAAATAGGTAGGAAATTGTTTTATGTATAAAATATTACGAGTGATTCACAAATGTACATTGTCTACGTCTCTTTCAATACTATTATAATTGAACAGATGAAAGCGCTTATACAAAATGATACTTTTAAGTAAGCACCATTAGGATTAAATAATTTCATAGAAGATGCGAATTATTTTCCACACTTTTGGCACTCTATACAAATCTACAAATTTTTAACAACAAATACGTTGTACGTGTACATAAATTTTTAATAAAAAAAAAAACTATTATTTGTACGAAAAGATATTCATCTTTTGAAAGTTTTTCAAGAAAGCAGTTTTCAAGCATTCCACAAACATAGACAAGTACTCGTTGACATGAATTAGAGAATGTACAAGCATTCGATAAAATAATCAATTCCTAATGAATTTATAGAAATTTTATAGATTGACAACGGCGCAGCTTTGACGATCAAAATGATCTCTTATAAAATACTGTGCACAGATAGATGTAAGTCTGTTATTTTCTGATATGATCTGTCAAATTATTTTCTTGTTTAAGTTTTATACTTTAGTCGTCGATAGTTCTAGTCTTTGACTGTCGTGCGTATGAGTAATGGTATCCCCGGAACTGCTATATTTGCTTAAAACGTCAGTTTTTCTCTTGAAAGAGTTAAAGTAGAATTTCCTAGAAATGTGCATCCACTGTTTCACGTTAAGTGAAAAAGTTTTCTATTGCTCGTATGTCGACACATCGTTTGGAAAAATTGAGTTTCCAGATGTAAGACAAATTGGAGACAAAATTAATGCAAGTTGATTATCCTTACTCACACAGGATGGGATTCATAACAAACGTACGCGCGTCATACAGTGGATGCAACGTGGTGAAAATTAAACAAACAAATGCTTTCTCGAACTAAATTTGATTTTCTTCCATTATTTATTATTTAAATCCATTTATTATTATTTAGAAAACAAATAACAATTTGAGAACCGAATTTATATTTATTGTATTAGCAGAGTTTGGTATAATAAACTGTATAAAGTCTGAACGCACCATCAGGAATATTATATGCATTAATATGAAATCTTTGACCATATGTATAATGCATATGATGCTTGTTTTTTCAAAGAAATTTGCAATCGATATTTTTTCACTTTGTAAAATGAAGATTATAAAATTATTGCAGTTTCATCTCTCTCCCATTACCTGGTGATTTATTTCTAATAAAGCAATGTCAAAATCTTGCTTAATGTAATATTGTCGTGTTAAATTAAAAGACTGCGACTTTCACTTAAATCAAGTCACTAATGCCAAATAGTATAAAAGTTTATCTATATGTTCATATGTTATAAAAAAAAAAAACTTTAATTGCATTAAAACTGAAGGTATCGATAATAATTTATATTTTGGACTTGTGATAAATACTGAAAGTCTTTTGTCAAATCAGCGTTCGTATTTGATTAGAACCGTTTATTTAACATGGAAGAGTAATCCAGCGGCAGTCCAAAAAATATTCACGAAATAATTAATAGTTAATTGATTAATAGTTAATAGAAATTTATATTCAAAACTTGTTGTACACAAGGCTCTAACAATGTTCACGAATAATAAATTTTCATTTGTAATTTCAAATGTAATTTCTGAATAATTATGTAAGTTTCGATGAGTTTAGTAATTACAAACTTGTATAAAAAATGTATACGTCTTTATATATACATTTCGAGGGTCAAGTAAAGTAAAGGAAAAATTTTGGATTCAATCAAGTTCAGAAATACAATTGTAAAAGATTACAAATTAAGTAAACTCTTTAATTAGAGCTTTTGAAAAATGAAAATTTAATCGATTCATGGATACTAAAACACTATCACCACGTAGCGGTAAAATGCTGGAACTAATCGCTATTTTTATTTCATAGTAGTGCGTTCCTTGTCTATGACTAAATGAGGTGTTGCTATCTATTGCAATTTACTAAAACTATAATTAATAATTCAATTATCGAAATTCCATAAATGGTAACATTTCATTTAGTCCCTGACAGTCTTCTAATTTATTTAAAATAAACTTCAATATTAATAATATTTACAATTAGATTTACAATTAAAATCATTTAACGAACGATTATTTAACAATTATTGATCAAAGATTGATTGGATATTCTAATTGGATGTTTATAAAAATATTGCACTGACAACAGTAAATGAAATAAATGAATTTTATGTATTATGTAATAAAATAATTTAAAATTTTGAGAGAACAATAAAATAATTGGTAAAGCAACAGTTGGCAAAATAGGAATTAAATAGATCGGTAAAGAAGGTAGCGTATGTTACTAATCGTAAATAAGATATGTCCCATTGTACAAGAACAGCAGTAGTGATTAAGTTCATCATTTCACCACTACGTGGTGATAGTATTTCTAGTCTCATAGATTTACAAATTTTTATGTCCAAAAAGAACTGATTAACAGGATCTTTTCTCAGTTGTTGAAAACTGAAACTTCAATTTATATTCTCCACATCATTTAAACTTTGAGGTATGCGTACAAAAATGTACACATTTGTTAGATTTAGTATCTCGTCTGTGGTGGAATAACAAATGATAACATCAGTTGATAAAATACCTTCAGTTAATCAGAAATTAACGAATGGTAATTTACCAACAGTGAGTAAAATACCTTCAGTCAATAACTTTGAAAATAATAAAAGAAATCCTTTTTATCATTTCTGAAATACATTTCAGTCTTTACAGTTATTTTGATAACATGAATAAAACGAAAAATATTACATAAAATGGCAACATATAAAATAATACGAAAATGTTACGTATAAGATGGTAACTTTTGCTCAATGGAATAATTACTCATTCACCTATTTATCAGAATGCTTATGTCATTTAAATACAAAATATTTTTGAATACCGTAAGAAAGGATATTTAGATGAAAGTTTTTAATATCTTTTATTTCGTTTTTCTTAATATAATTTACAAACTTACTTAACTCTCGTATAAATCTAAAAATATAGATATTCGTGCATGACGTAAACTAATAACATAGAAAATAACAGGACACTTAAACCATCCGCGAATTCATCCCGCGGAAAGTGCTTGTTGTACACAGTACATTGTACATTTTCATATATCACTATACAATAGATATGTTAAAAAAATAGTACAAAATATTTTAATTCTTCCGTTTCACACACACACGCACGCACACATACTCTCTCTCTCTCTCTTTCTTTCTCTTTTTTTCTTATACACTCATACATCAAACGTATTCTTTTTTTTTTTCATCATTTTCACGCTTATACACATTTTAAATGTATACCTCGAAATAAAAATTACAACGTTGTATAATAGCTTTCATTTCGTTCTGGACAAAGAACGTATTTCGTTTTATACGGTTTACAATTATCCGTCACTTCTGCATCTATCGTTCCATTCAAATCAATTCTTTAAGATTTCTATAATTATCAATCATAGCCAAAGCATTGCTGTACAGAAATTTTTTCATGCTTCAATTCATATTTCTTTAAATGGAATATTTTCAGTAAGATTTAATGCAACTTTTCGAATTTCCTAGATAAAAATTTAACTTCGCGTCTTTTACTAAAAAAGGAAGGACTTCTCTTTTATAAAATTCAATTCTATTGTACAACTTTCGTCCATTTGAGACTGGAAAGGAAGCATCGTTCTTCGTAAAATGCGGTCCGATTCAAACGGTTTGCCGACGAGGAGCGTTAAAATCGACGAAGAAGCGAGCCCGACGAACAAATTCCACAGAGGTTTCTCTTGTAAAAGAAACGCATTTCAACCGGTAGTAAAACCGAAAGGGGGCTGCGGTTAGATGGTGCATCCACGATCACAAAAGAACCTTTAATGACTCTCTCCACGAAGCAAAATAGAAGAAGAAGAAGAAGAAAAAGGAAGGACGGTCTAGGGTCAGGAATATTTTTAGAAGAGAGCAGGTACCGCCTAAACCAAGTAGCTTTGACATTCTATTGCACCTGTCACCTGTGGCAACAGTGGCACAGGTCCTTTCGCCGAGAAATTTCCATTATTCCGTTTCCAAACTGTTGCGGACAATGGAAATGTTTCCTAATTTCCCTATTTCTGTTTCTGTTCACGGTGTTTCGGGCAATTTTCTGACGAAAATAACGCCAGAATTACGATATATATATGCACGAAAACATCGTTATTTGTAAAATGAGTGCACTTGCAAATTAATTTCTCTCTTCTTTGTAAGAAAAGATACCAAAAAAGGGCTTTTTACAATAAAGAAACCTTCTGAATATTTTCTTGTATCAATTTCTTTCAATTTCGCGAACTGTGTCCTTCATTCGTTATAATATAAGGCACATTTTTTTTGATGAAATTAAGTAAATTTTCCGGCAATTTAATTATTGAGTATAATCGATGTAAAAGGTACGAAATTTTTGTTTGCAACGTGTAAAGTAGAATTTCAATGATAATTGGGTATCCCAATGTTAACTACTATGTACAAATGTGCTCTTAGTACACTAATACAATAAAATTTTGTCAAAATGAACGCTTTCAACCTCCTCGCGTTGTACTTTTCTTAAGGTCTGTATGCTTCTGCCCCTACTTTTTTTTGTCGAATATATAAAAATACAGCCATATATATATATAACTACAGGTAAAAATTTGCTTTAATGGCCAACGTGACATAAAATCGTATTAAACAACGGTGAAATTATCGCCACGATTCGTTGATCACATTTTAATCGTGTTTCAAAAAATAGATGTAATTTTTCTACAATCTCTTCTACGTAATTCGCCTCTTTCTATAATTCAATTTCCTTATTAAATCAATAACTCGATAAATTTCGAATATTTCGATACGTACAACAATTATAAATTCTCTTCTCATAAAACACCGTTAATAACAATAATACATAATTAACGTTATACCTGGCCTTTAATACAATATTTGTTTCTTAAAAAAAAAAAAAAAAGAAAGGTACTGGATACTTAACAATTAAACTAAAATAATGTTGTAATAGATAAACTTAATTTCGTAATAGATTTATACATTTTTCAGTTTAATAAACTAAATAATACCACAGTCTGTAACAATGTTTTCGAAATCTTTTGCCGACTGAAAAATAACATCGTTCCATTGTCGTAACGATATTTCCACCGTTTCTCAAAACGATTCTCATCTTTCATTTCGCATGTTTCGTCTTTTTTTTTATACCACACAAAGGCCAGGAATCCAAGTTGGCTAAGCTCGTTTGAAAGAAAAAATTTCTTCAACACTTTCGCTACCATCTACTTGTTTCTTCCTTTTTTTCAAAGAAACGCCTTTGCATCTTGTTTCAACATCAATTATCATTTATCGGTGAAAATTCGACGTATAAAACCGCACCAGACATCTATCATTACGATGGAATAGTCTCGTGATAAAATTGCACAATAAAATCGCAAAGAAGCATCCCGTTTCATCGAAAGTTAGCTTCGAAAGAAGAAAAATTAACAACATGTACAAGCTTTCGCCAGTTGGAGCCATCCGTCTACAAGCTCTAACGCATAAACATCCTCTTCTGTCTATCGCCCGACTACAAAAAAGAATATTCCTTACAAAATGCAACTAGAACCCCGTTTATATAAATTCATTCTCTTTACTCGTGCAATGGAAATTCGTGCAAAAGAAATCCAGTGCAATGAGTTCAATCAATCGATATAATCAAAGTCTGGTCAATTTATATAAACGAAGTTTCATCGATCATCCATCACTTTCCACCACTGATATCCAAATGACGTCCATGACGATCCCCTTTCGTTTGCAGCAGCGTCATCCGCGTTTTCGAAATCCAATTTCACAGCAGACGATCATTTGGTATTCCCCCTTCTACCGGCGCATTATATCCGCTATAGTGAATCCGTGCCTGGCAGGAGCGGGTCTAGGTGGCGGTGGTGGTTGAGGGGTGGGTGCCCTAGGGGGTCGTGTCACCTCTTCCTCCCTCTCCCTCTCGCGTTCTCTCTCTCTGCTCTGTTCCAGCTCTCGTTCTCGTTCCCTCTCGCGTTCCTGCAACTCGAGGAGCACCCTCGAAGGACCTGGCGAGCCGATTCTTCGTCTGTACGACGTGAGAATTAACGGTGGCGGTGGCGGTAGCGCGGCCGGTGGATTCTGGGTGACGGTGTGGCCGCCGGTTCCGCCGCTGGTCATCGTGGATGGTTTCACGGTTGGTAGCAGGTCTCTTCTGATCTGGAGCTGAGGTCTCTGGGGTAGAGCAGACGCGGAGGTTGGCGCCGGTGGTTGCGGTGGCACGGACGAGCTCTGAGAAGTAGCATAAGACGCGTTCGTTGCCGAGGCTGGCAGAGAGGATGAGGAATTAGTCGCCGTGGATGTCGACGAGCTGGCTTCCGAGCAGTCCTCCTCCGGGCTGTCGTCGTCCCTGAGTGCCTCCTCCAACGCTTCCGGTGGCACGTCGCCCACCGCGTGCGTCAACGCGTGCCTCCTCAAGTCGCAGTTTCTACGAAACACCTTGCCGCACGAGGTGCACTCGTACGGCTTGTGATCCGTGTGGGTGAGGAGGTGGGTCTTCAGGTTGCTGCGCTGGTTGAAGCTTCGCGCGCACACCGGGCATTTATGGGGCGATTCCTCCATGTGGAGGATCTTGTGCACGGCCAATGTACGGCTTTGGCAGAAACCCTTGCCGCACTCGCCGCACTTGAACGGCTTCTCCTTGCTGTGAATGTACCTGTGCAACGAGCGTTGGGCAGTTTAGTAGCGAGTTAATCGACAATAATCGACATACAAAGAGATACAAAGTGACACGTAATGATAAAATTTACCTGTGATCTCGGAGATGATCCTGCCTCCTGAAAGCCTTGCCGCAAATGTCGCACGAGTACGGCCGCTCGTCCGTGTGCGTTCGCTCGTGAATCAACAGATTGTACGACTTGGTGAACTGTCGATTGCAGAACTTGCAGATGAACTGTTTCTTAGGCCTGGACGCTCTTCCCGGCGCTCTCAACAGCCTCCTGTCCAAGTGTTGATGAGCCAACGGGCCACCGGGTGGGTAGAGCGCCGCCGATCCGCCTGGGAAAGGACCGGCGAACACCGGGTAACCGGGTGGCGGTTCGAGAAGTGGCGGCGGAGGAAGCAGAAGAGCCCTCGCCGCTAGTTCCTTCCTCTTGTCCGCCATCATAGCCATAATCTCGTAGCTGGACGAGGATTTTCTCGCGACAGACGGCTCTGCGCCAACGTCGTGCTCTGGATTCGACGTGGCCGACGAGGATGGCGGCGGCCCGGTCAAGTGGGCATGCATGTCGCCTGGATATGGCGCCAGGTGCAACCTCGACGGTACCACTGGCACAAACGCCGACGATTCGCGATGATGAGGATGGCCCAAGCCGGCTACCAAGCCGTGCCGATGATGGTGATAAGCGGCCAGAGCGCTAGACGGGTCGAAGCCTCTCGAGCTCGACTGCGCCGACGATCCTGAGGATGACGCGCTCGCCGAAGAGGCAGCCGACCTTGACGACGGCCCAAGGCCCAACTCTCGACCTCTGCTCGTCTCCTCCGAGACCGTAACCGAGGCCGAGGCCGACGACGCCACGATGTCCGTCGGCATACCGATGACACCTGCAATTTTTCGATCAAACCTGCTGCTCATCGAACGCTGAATTGCGTGGGTCTTGTCGAAGGGAAATTTATGCGTGAATTGGTTACCCATTTGTTGGGATAGTTGGCAAATGAAAATTGAAATACTCTAGTCTTGTTCTAGACGTTTAAACGTTTTCGTCGAGGTTCTTGATGGATCTTCCAATTTAAATTGAATTTAATTAATTTAAGTTTAATGTTGTTACGAATTGAAAGAATCGGCCGGGAGTAAAGGAAAAGCAATTTTCGACGATTCAAAAATTGTTTCCTACTTCAGGCAGTAATAGAAAGAAATTTGAACACTCTGTTGTTATTAAATTAGGATATTTGATCTTGGGAAAATAATATTGCGAGATAAGGAGTAATGAATATATCTCAGCTTCACGGTGCCATGTACAATGGAAACGTAATATTTATAATAAGCGCGTTATGTATCTCTAGAGATAAATTTCTATGTATCACACTGTCGTTTCTATGGTTTACATATGCTATTTATGTGCAAAATATTAGTATCTTTATTAACATTTACGAAACGTGAAAAGTTACCAATTTGAGAGATACACTTCTTCGTGATAATCAACGAAATCAAATGTTATTTATTTCCGCTCGCGATAAGATAAGGCCGTTCTTCTACTCTGAAATAAATGATTCAAACTTTCTTTCTCTCGAGAGAGGAAACGAAAGAATACTCGCAGCATTTCGGAGCAAGAAGTTCTAAACTAAACTTTCACACCGTTGCAAAATGGTAACGTGTACTTTGATTACGAAATGCCGTGGTAGCGAGATTCAAGGACTTCGGCTGCGTTTGTTCTACGCTTCTCTCCCCGAACTCCCTACATTTTTCATTCTGCCGTGAGACTGACAGAAACGCCTATGTGTGAAAAAAATTCTACTGATAATTCGTTTCTTTTTTTTTTTTTTTTTCAAACTAAGCGAAGGACTCCACGTGACACGAAGATCAAGTGTAAACCACGTTAAACATATCCGCCATCTTGCTATTCGTTTGCGACTTCCATTGAACGCGTTGCATTCCTGCTCTGTGAAACGTTGTTTGTACATCATTATCGTAAACATTCGACTAACAAGGCCCCCTCTGTTCTACACATTATGCAATCGAGAGATTCTTTTCATTTTCATCTCAACGAATTCTTCGTCTCTTCTTCTTCGTCAAAAGCCTCGTTCATGGTTCTACAGAATCTGCTATTCCAACGATCGAGTAGACAAGAGAGACGAAATCCTCCGATCCGTTTGTAAATCCAACGCGCAAACAGCAGCATGAGACAAAAAAAAAAAAAAAAAAAGAAACGGTCCCGACCTAATCGGTCACGAACTAATCGTGTTCATCCAGCGAAACGAAAGAGCGAGACGTTTATCGAGCGATCGTTTCGCCTCTGCCCGGCCACAATTGCGCGATAATACGTGGGAAACCGCTCCCGTTTCAGCCGCGTGCGTTCCACGAACGTGAACTGGTTATCTCGAGCCGAGCACACCTGCCAACATGGCTTCCGCGGGCCCAGCGGTCACGGCTAGTCCCAGCGGCCATGTTGGAATCGCCAATGCCCAGAGAAGAATGCAACAAACCGCCGAATGACACCACCGCCTTTTCATCTCTACGTTCCAATTCGACCAGAACTGAAACATCCTACAGTGATTCTAAATCTAAACGAAACGCTCACCAGGGAAGGCTTCTCGATCGCGTGTTTACTACACTCCGCCGATATCGGTCCACCGTCGCATCTCTGACGTGCGATGATCCAGTCCAGCGATCGCTGGCGGAAGCGACACCGGGATCGGCTACATCGAGCCGTCGCCGGCAACGATTCTTCCGCCGCTGTTCCTTCTGCGACTGCTTTATCGTGAAACCATTCGTGGTCACCCACGTAAGCACACATACACACGGACCCGCACTGGCTGATCACACACTGATGTGAATCGGAGAAGCGTGTTGGGCGCACGAAAACTCGGCGCACACCTGGTCGTCCGCCTCTCGTTTCTATCTTCTCTTCCGGGAGTGGATCGTTGATCACGATCGAAGGGTGTGCACCGTACGGGAGGAAATGTAGAAGCGGAACGAAAGGAAACGCGGACGCAGCGCCGTGGCCCGAGTTTCGCGATCGTGGACACGAAGGAGCGCACGGTTTACTGCGTGTTGGACGCCGCCAGGTAGGCTACCTCGGCGCACACCCACGCAGCCGAAGCACACGCATGGTCCACACGCGCGCGTAGACACACGGATAAAACCGGCCACGAACTTGCCTGGGAGTCTCTTTCCGTTCGGCTGCCGCTGGTAGCGCTGCTGCTGGATGCTGTGCTCCGACTGACTCGCTCCTGGCCCCGGCGACGGTGCGACAGAGTCCGACGGGACCGGCCAATGCGAGTCGAAACGAGACGCAGGAGAACCTGGAGCAGGCCCCAGCGATGGGACCGACACCCTTCCGCGTTAAACAAGCCTCCTTTGAACAAATTTTTCAGCTGCCGTCTTTTTGTAGCACGCGAGCGTGCAATCTCGTTTTTTCGTCGTTGTATTATATATTTGTAAAATTGTTTCATAATTTTCGCAATTGTATTTCGTAATCTCGTGCGATTTACAAGAGAGTTTTTTTTTTTCTTTTTTTTTTTTTTGTGATCTGAAACTGTAATCGATCTGTTAGATTTAGAAGTGAAGTTTGTAATAACAAAGAAAGAAATAATGGGAAAAGAAGGGAAATGATGATGAGCGTGAGTCGAAAATCTTGTAGCTAATATATTATAAGAGTATCGAATAGTATAATATAAAGTGAGAGAATTGAAAATGAAATACGTGTTACATTAACTGAATGTTGGCTCTTCAATCGATTAGTGTTAAATTTTGAATATATAGATTATTGGGTTATACTGATCTGTATACTACACGATTTTTTATACTTTTAGTTTACTTAAATTGTGACATAATATATGTAAATAAATTTATTTATAAATAATTTGTAAATAAATAAAATTATTTGCAAACAATTTATAAATAAACAAAATTGTTTGTAAATAATTTACAAATATATTTGTAGGTAAATATTAGTTAATCATTTTAGTGTTTCAGTCTAATGAAATTATTTGCAAACAATTTATAAATAAACAAAATTATTTGTATATAACTTACAAATATACTTGTATGTAAATGTTAGTTAATTATGTTATAGGTTTTAGTGTTTCAGTCTAATGAAATTATTTGCAAACAATTTATAAATAAACGAAATTATTTGTAAATAATTTACAAATATATTTGTATGTATAATGTTAGTTAATTATGTTGTAGGTTTTAGTGTTTCAGTCTAATGAAATTATTTGCAAACAATTTATAAATAAACAAAATTATTTGTAAATAATTTACAAATATATTTGTATGTATAATGTCATTTAATTATGTTGTAGTATTTTAGTGTTTCAGTCTAACGTCGAAATCTGAAAATTCTAACTGTGGTAATGTCATTAGGGTGACATTAATGTTCAGAGTGTCTACACAGAGGGTAATTTAAATGGAAAGGAAGTTTAAGTGACTGTAGAAATACGGGAGTGATTTTACTCTAACATGGACGTGCGAGAATGTGTTTGCGTAGTATCTACATACGGGATGAATTTAATTTGCATGAAAATTTAAATTAGACATGCAAATAAGACGTTGGCACGATGTAGAAACGTACGTTGAACAGAGGCTCTAAGAAACGAGACGATGGCCACGTTAACGTTCGCAGTTCATTGAGACATCGTTGATAAATTACGATATAATACGATAACTGACGGAAATATCAAAGATAGTAATTGTTTGAATCATTCAATGCACAAGCGTACCTAACTTGAAAACAAAAAAATGTATGATGTGTAATGTACGATGTAAAATTTCTGTAATATTTACACTAGATTGTTGATTATATAAAAAGTGTTTAATTACTCGAATTATTAAAAAAGCATCTCCGTTTGAGAAATGATTCTTCTTATAGTGAAAATTATGTATCCATATTTAGAACGTACAACGCAATTGACTAATTCAATCAATTACAATTAACACATGGACAATTGAACGCCAATTTTGGGTAAATTAGTGACGCAGCGTTAGAAATCATCTGTATCACATCATGTTGGACAACTATACATAGATGACAATTACAAATATGATACTATATAACATAATTATTATATACTGACAATACAAAAAAAAAAATTCCATGAAAATTCCTTTTCCATCCGCTCCAACCATTTTCCTCTCTATTCAAACATTCCACCAATGTTCAACCGCAACTTCGAAACTCGATTACAGGTCGAACCCATTGCTAACAGTAAGAGACGTAGAGCAAAGGAGACCAGGAATGAGGGAGGGAGATCCACGGGTATCCTACCTACCAGTACCTACGACGCGATGCCTGCGCAGGTTGAACGCAGGAGGTTTAGAGACGTGGTATGAGCAACAGGTGCGTAATACTAAGGTTCGGTGCCCCCCTCCTGATCGATAAACACCGGTCTCCTACGAATCCTACACAGTCTCTGTCTCCTCAATCTAACCTAAACCGCGTCTTCTCCACCACAGCTCAAACGAAACCTCATCGACACTTGCGTCGACATTTAATTACACACCCGTGTCCTCGATCGTTTCAGAAAAACGTCAATGGACCTCAGTCTCCAGAAAACCTCCTTCGTTCGTCGTCGTCGTCGTCTCAGTCACCTGTGCGCAAAGGAGAGAAACAACAACGATGGCCGAACGATGGTGCATCGTTCGTTGTAGAAATAGTGGCGGAACGTTGATCGCGTCAAGTTCGGACGAGGCGCGGTAACGGAAGGTAAAAAATCGTGGGGCAGGTTGTAAAGGTCCACCTGTAGGAAACTCGTGCGGCGCCGGCACTGAAGAAGGAGATCGGTTGGACGAGGGGAGGGGGCGGGGAGGGGGCCGGCGAGGTGGAGGGGGAAGGAGAGGGCCCAGCGGCCCAGAGGCACTCAGAGAGATCGAGCCTCGATCTTTCTCCTCACTTCTCTTCTCTTCTCTTGCTTCTTCACCCTGGCCAGTCCCCGTGTCCAGTCCACCCCTCTCTCTCTCTCCGTCGCGCGCGCGCGCGCGCGCGCTCTCTTAGGTTCTTTTTCTTTCTTTCCGTCTCTTTTCTGCTGGCAGCAGCCGCCGCCGCCGACGCCCAGCCGGTTTTACACCGGCGGATCGATCCAATCGAGCGTCTCGGAAGAACGAGGCTGGTTCTCTCTAGTTCACGGATCCGTGGATTTCGCTCCACTTGCCTAGAACAACCGGCGTAATTGTTCGTCTGCCTGGATCCGGTGGAATTTCGCTCGCCGCGGGAGATCGAGCTGTTGGGGGAATCGCGGAAACTTCGCGGAGGCTCGTCGAACGAAATCGAGCCAACGAGCTGCATCTTTCCTTCGTTTTTTCTTCGGGTTACTTTCGTTTCACCTTTTTCGCCGCGGTAGCCGAACTGTGCCGATTTCTTCCTCCGAAAAATGAGCGCAGTCGAGTGACTTTCTGTCTGCCTTTGATCGTAAAGAGATGTGGAAGGAAATAGGTAGATAGGTGGATCTTCGTGCGTTCGTCAAAATATTCAATCTTCTTCTTTAAACGTCAGTCAAACAATTATGGATTGCTAAATATTATTTAATATTATTGTTATTATTTAATAATAATATTAATATTATATATGTTATAGTATATAAATTATATAATTTTATATATATATATATATAATATTAATATTATATATATTATTATTATTATTAGTTAATAATAATATATATATAAATTATTTAATAATTTTTAATTTAATATTTAATAATTATTAAATCACTACGGTAGAGATCAAATTAAATTAAAGTCAATCGAGTTAAAAAAACTAGGCAATTTAATTGTAAACAATCCAAGAGTTAAAGTAGAAGTACAGAAAATGCACTATAATATGTAAAATACTTGGATTTTCCATAATATATATGGTAGATAAAATATTTATTTTCCAAATTATATTTACAAATGCTTGCTATAATATTTAATATGTAAAATAACTCTCTACTGAGATTCTATTTTCAAAGATCTGAATCTGTATAAAAATCCGCAGTAGTTAATAGCTTTTAAATAGCGTAACAGTTATACGACTCGATGTTTCGTTCATTTGATCATTTACATTTATTTTTTAATGCTTTTAATTTTTGTCAATCACTCACACGTTCCATGCTAATTACATTTGATGATTATCACAGTTACTGCAATTTTTCGCAGACTTATCCTAGGTGAAAAATGGCCTGATTCATTTTATTCCTCACGTACAGATATCGATCCGATCGTTGAGTTTTCCTATTCAGCTTTCTATTCCTCGGTAAAAAATCAGTTGGGCGAACGCAGATCGTTCGATCGATAGATCATCTATCGAAACGATCGTCTGGCATGAAGACATATTTTTTTCTTGCCGAGTATCCACCAGTTCCTAGCGTGATCAAACCGTATCCTACGAACAAATCCCTCATT